AAAGAAAAGAAGGATCATTTTTCACTTTCTTCTCTCGGTGACTCGAACTCACGACCTATCACGCATAGGTAAAACGTCTTACCACCAAACTGCGTTACATTGTCCACAGTTCAATTGATCTAATATAGATGGATTAGAACGAATTTATGTACTGAACATAGTGGGGAAATTTCGATCGTGGTCCTGTAAGATTGAATTATTTATATATTTTGGTCCTAAAACTTGTTTTTTTTAGCTGGATGCATCTTAAAGGAAATACAGTAGGATTGCACAAAATATGGTTAAACAAACCAAATCGATCGAAACTGAAATTTCATTCGTTTTTTAGGTCGGAACAAGAATGTGATACCTTGTTTGATTATATGGATTCAAATTTAGTAAAATTTCGATATAGTTGGATTCGTAATGCTTGTTTAATCCAACATATATTATCCGTAAATTTGTAGAAGATCCAACAGAATGATTATCTTCGTCTACCGAGACTAATCATGTTTAGCCCCATTTTTATTTTATTTTTCTTCATTATCTATCTCATGGTTTGGCTGCCCGGTAAACAAATCGAGCTGAAATCAAACAGAACTATGAATTTTGTTTCAATCTTAATTTTAGTTTGATCAAACCGAATTTTGGTTAACAAAATTTGCAATTGGTTCGATTCATTTTCGACCAATTTTGAACATCCTTGCTCAATATATAGTTGTCTTTTTTTAGTCATAGTGGTTGTCACAAAGTCATACTTTTATAACAAAAAATCATATGAAGTAATATAAATAATATTACAACTAGTACAACACCCGTCTATTACACGGGTGCTTGTTAAAAAAATATTTTTAAATTTTAAAATTAATGAGAAAACTATATTAGATTTAGTTTATTTTTTTTTAAAAAAAATTACTATTTATTTTAGAACGATATGTGTTACTTATGACTTACATGTGTTATATTATATTAGTTGTTATAACTTATATCATATAACTACTTGAAATATAAATATATTAGTTGATAAATAATTTTATTTTTCTAATTAATATTAAAAATAATTTTATTATTGTTATAAAGATAAATATAAATTATTTTTTATACATACAATATGGATATTAAATCGAAGCTCATCAAAAGAAGATTAATTTGATATATTACATTTGTAAAACTGATAAAAAATACAAAAATTATTAATTTTTAAAATATATATACAATTCAATAGTTATAATAAGTAATGATATTAAAATACAATTAATACATGTAACATGACCATAAATAATCAACATATTTATGGTAATCCGAAACTAATTATTTTTTATTTGGAATTAAATTAAAATTTACCCAAACCTAATAACGAAGCATGTAATTTTGCCACATAGAATTTTGAAGCACCAGAAGCAGCCACGTAGGCTCAGCGCGTTCTGTATTAATATATAGGGGAGGGGAGGGGAGGGGATAATATAAGTACGATTTTTGTTCATAACTATTTTATAGTTTACTCGACCTGTAATTTATAATAGACTGGTAGCTTTTTTTTATTATTATTATTAAAAATCAAATTTAACCACGAATTTTGATTTGGTTTCCTTTTTTTTTTCTAACTAACCAAAATTTTGGTTATCAAAATATTTTGTTGATGGATTCGATTTTAATCGAATTAACACCCTAATCAATAGTTGTAGTTTTAGCCTCATATACCCCTAGAAACTTATACTTCTATAATCATATATTATATTTTAAAATTAAATAAATATGTAGCAATTTAGGATTTTTATTGTACTTATTCATAATATAAATATCACTGTCAAATTACGATAAATCGATCTGTCTAATCATCAAACCAAACTTCTCTTTCTATGTTTTAATGCAGAGTTTCTCGAGCGAATAAGTCAAATTCTGATGCTTCATGTATATGAAATATCAAGTTGATCATCTCTCAACGAATTTTTTTCTTACATCATTGCACATATTATTGGTATAGCTTATATATTGACAAATGAAGGAGGCAGACTGATGCTTGCAAACGTAGCGAAGCGATCGTAGCGAGGGAAGCGGAGCGACAAGTATTTATTAGGAACAAAAAAAAAAAAAAAAAAGGAAGTGGGTCGAAAATATTAGAACCTAAATCTTCGGATGCAAAAGTGTAATTTTAGGATTTGTACTTGTGAGTAGATAGATACAAAGGAGGGGTAGGGTGAAGGGATACCACATGCAAGACAGCGAGGCACTGTGTACGTTCATTACAAAACGGGGTACATTTCCCATCTTCTTTTTCCTTCCTATTTGGCCACACATATCTTTTTTTCCTCATTATTATTATTATTATTTTAAATTATAATAAATATAAACAATAATTCAATATATTTATTATTTATTTTTATAGCAAATTCAATTTTTTATTTAATATTTTTATATGGTCCCGACGTATCCTATTTCGATCATATATTTGATTTTCAAAAATCTTGCTCTCTTGGATGCATGCCACGATATTATTTATAGGTTTTTTATTTATTATGGTTTTGAAATATTCTATGCTTCACATGACTAATTAATATTCATTCTCATGCCTTTATTATAGAACGTGGGATTGTTGATATATGTGTGTGATGCCAATTATTTTGATTTCTCGATGAACCAAATTATTATTATTATTATTATTATTATTATTATTATTATTATTATTATTATTGTTGTGTACACCAAACATTAATGCTTAATTTGGAAAACATAAGCTTAGACCAAACAAATTAGTGGTGTATAATGACTCACAAATTCTTCTGTTTGCACGTTTGTTTGATTATTGAGACACCTGTTGTTATTAAAGATTTATTATATTTGATGTGATTGATTTATATATAAGTCATTTTTGTGGATCTATTTTGGTGGTATGTGTTTGGTAAAACTAGCTGATATGTTCGCTGATAAGCTAATTTATAGTTTATCAGTAATTTTCGAGCTTAATTATAGCTTATAACGTATACTTATAGCTGAAAAGCTAGTTTATATGATAAAAATATTCGGTAAATTAGTTGATAACCAAGCTGAAATAAAAATTTCAACGAGCTTATTTGAAGAGCTACCCAAATAAGCTTAAAAAAGGTCGTCCTACCGAACGAAGATTATTTAGATACAGGAAGCTTATAAGCTAACTAAATAAACTATAAGTTAGTTTATTTGTCTAGCAAACATAGTCTTTGTAAATTATTAATGAGATTATTGTTCCATTACGGATTATTGATGAGTTCGGTGCAAGTAATACATACCAGTAAAAAAATTATCAGGCAAATTATTTTATTTAACCGAGATCTTCACATCCACATTAATTTATATTGACATTATTTATTTATTTTTTTGAATTTTAGTTGAAATTCAATTATTCCGACAACCATTTTTTTAATTGTCATTTATTTTCTGTTTTTTTTTGTTAGAATTTCTGTTGAAATCTATAAGAACAAAAGTAATAATATTGGAATAATTTTTTCGTTGAAAGTTCAATATATATTTTTCTTTTTTCATTGTATTGGAATTAATATATTTTGTTAAATTAGGTTACCAACTAGCTTACCAAATAATTTGTTGATGATTTGGTCAAATGTAGCATATTGATTGGGTAATATATTATAATGACAATAATTAAAAATAATTGTCAAGTATATTTTGCGGGGAGATTTTCTAACATATGTAGTTCCAATTTTTATTTTTATTTTTAAGCTTAATTTTCTTAATTTATACTTCAAAATTGATGATTGGGTTAATTTTGCCATCTCTCAAGTGAGTCATTTGGCTTGCGTCACCTTACGTAATTGTGACCAAAGTACATCTATGTATGACTAACTTGAATTAACAACAATACCTCAGTTGTATATATCTATAGTGTTATGTTAATTCCAAAACTAGATCAACATAAACTGATCATATTATATAATTATGCCACGTGGGCAGATTCAAGTGAATAAAATAAAATAAAATAAAATAAAAAAGTGAAAGGATTAAGAAAAGACATGGTATGCAACCAGTCAAACCCTAGTTCAGTTTGACTACTAATTGTCCAAATAAAGTTTAGTTTCAATTTTTAATTTTTAATTTTTTTTTTTTATTTTTTTGCCCCTGTTAAGTAGTATAATTTGCAGTGCAAGTGGATTAATTAATGAGAAATTTTACGCGTTAGGGAACCATTTTGTAGGAATTTGTAATTGTCAGGAATAGTTGATTTATCAATTACGAATCATCACGGAGTGATTCCGTAAAGCCGTAGCATCTCTTTTAATTACATTAAACTAATCAGATTTTCTTAGAAAAAATATATTATGTCACCTAATTGTACATATCTAGTAAAATAGAAAAAAAAAAGGGACGTTTTTATTCAAACGCATAATTTGACACTTTTTTATATTGATGTTTGATATTTTTTTAGTTGAAATAATTATTTTTATCACCTAAGAGCGTTTGGATGAGATGACTTGTGTCTCTTCCAACTTAACCAGTGGTCTCGTGTTCGAGTCCTGAGAATGCAGCAGTGTTAAAACTCTTGAAAGAGAGCTCTGCCGCCCTTGTGATCCTACCCGGCTCGATTCTGGATTAGTTAACCGGAAGGTTCCTGTACCAAAAAAAATAATTATTTTTATCTTCATCTAAAAACTTCTATTTTTTTATTTTTTTTCTTTATCAAACATTATAACTTGTATTGACTAATAAAATTGAGTGAACTATAGTAATTACAGTTTAGGGAAGCTTCTGGGAGCTTGTCGTCGTAGTCGCTGATTGTGGGTCAATATATTTATTATTT